TGGCTGATCTTCAGCCCTGCCCTAAGGGGCCCCGTGTCCCAGTGTCCCGGTAATGGCTGCAAGCACCTCTGAGGGAAAGCCGCCCTCAAGTTCAGAGTTCTGCCGGCTGCCAAACAGTCCAGTTTCTCCCCGTATGAGTCCTGGGTCCCCAGAGACTTCCCGGAACTGGAGTTCAGAGCAGTCGGGAGCTTGTGACTCCCTCCTGATTCAAAAAGCCGAGTCCTCAGGTGCCAGCCCCTTTCCGCGCGCTTGAGCCTCCGTACCTCTGCACTTTACTTCCGCAGCTCCTCTGAGTCTCAGTGTGCTTTTCTCTTTCCTTCTAGTTGTAGAATTTCCACTCAGCCAGCCTTCCTGTAGTTCTGGATGATTTCCATTTTGTCTTTTCGTTGTATTTTTGAAGTTGTTGTGGGAGGCAGCAATTTCCGGTGTTTACCTATGCCGCCATCTTGGTTTCTCCTCCGAATATATTTGATGATAAAAATTTTAAGAAGAAATTGAGGCCCTATCTTAGCCTGTTTGGCTCAGTGGTTGAAGCGTCACCTGGCAGACTGAAGGGTTCTATTTGGATTCTAGTCAAGGGCACATGCCTAGGTTGCAAACTCAATCTGGGCTGTGGGTAGGGCGGGGGTGAGAGTGGGGGCAATCAAAGAATGTGTCTCTCTCATATCAATGTTTTCTCTCTCTGTCTCTCCCCCTCCCTTCCAATCAGTCTAAAAATCAGTGGGGGAAAAAATCCTCTGCTGAGAATTAACAACAAAAAAGAAATTCAGTTTTTCAAATAATATATTTGCATAGGTTTGCCCTGTAAATTGGCAATCTGAGTTTTCATTCATGGTTTGGGCAGCTGACATAAGCCATGTGTCTATTTAGAAAAATGGGTTACATAAATGTATCATCATATGTACCTTTTAAGAACAGATTATATGTATTGATATGTAAAGATTTGGGGTACTTGTCAAGAGAATATATAGCATGTTACCTCTTCTAAAACTGTTATGCTCACCTGCAGGGTCAGGTGAGCCCCCACTCTAGGTTGCGCTGACAACATATTGCTGCCAGAAATATATAAAAGGGTTTATGACATAATGGAAGTGTCTGGGGACAGCAAGTCAAAGATAAAATCTAAAAGAAGGGTGGGAGAGTGAATCTTAGAAAAACAAAGATAATATTGAAATTGAACTTCGTCTTAGAAACAATGAAAGCAGGAAGAGAGTTTTGTGAAATTAAGTGTTGAAAGAGAAACCACCCAACTAGAATTTTGTGTCAAGCCAAGTTATCTTTCAAAAGTGAGGGAGAAATAAAGACTTTCTGAGACTAAATTTGAGGGAATTTGTCACCAATACCCCCGCTATGTACGAAATTCATCAGGAAGAAGGTTAATGATGAAGAAAGGTAGAGTGTTAGAGGCGGAATAAATAAAGGTAAAATAAAATAATTTGTTTTGTTATTCTTAACTAACTTAACAGAGAACATTTGGTTGAAAATGATAACAGCAGCAATATGTTCAGTAATTATAGCTTTTGAATACGTGAAATGAATGACAGCAATGTTACAAGCGACAGGGAGAGAAAAATTCTAAGAAATTTGCATATCCAGTGAGGTGCTGTGGTGTTACTTCAGAGAGGGCTTGGATTAGTTATAAATGTATACTGCAAACTCAAAGGCAATGGCTAAGAAAGTAAAAAACCAAACAGCATGATATGTTAAAAGAAGATAAAATGTATTCTGGTAAAATGCTCAAAAAACAACAACAACAACAACACACACACACACACACAACAAAAAGGACAGAAAAGGTAGAAGTAGAAGATAAGAAAGAACAAGAGCAACTAATGAAAATGATAAAAATATGGTAGGTATTAATCCAGCTATTTCAATAGTCACTTTAAACATCCATGGTGTCAATACAAGTGAAAGACATGTCAGCAGATGGTGGAATATGAGTTTTCTACCAAAATCTCCCCCAATGCACTGATTTTGACAACCACACAAGGATGAAAGTATCTTTCTGAGAGTCCAGTGGAGAAGTTGCAGCACACACTGAGCAAATTAACTGAAGACAGACACACTGTAGGCAGTAAGAATTAACAGCTTCATTTTACCCACATCACCCCTTCTCCACAGCAGCAGCCTCACTGCCAAACGAGACTCCTTGCTGGGCCTGGGATTCCTCCCCCTCGGGAAAGAGCAGTGTGACCCAGCATTTGGCTTCTCCAGTGGTGTGAGCCAGTGCCCACGAAGCTCGCTGCTTGGTCTCACTTTTCCCCTCATCAACTTTATAGCAAAATGACCTTGAAGGAAACCACATTATTTGAAGATCTGCTCTACTTCAGGAAAAGGTGTGCCCTCTCTTTTTCAGACCATC